TCTGGCTCCTGGGCCGCCTCTCGGGTCCAGGTCGGGGAAGCTCTCCGTGCCGAGGCTCGCAGTGGACAGGAACGCTCCTTCGTTCCTCACCAAGCGCGCTCCGCTGCTCGCGCAAAGCGCCCACTCGCAAACGTCCGACAAACACAATTCTGCTTCGATGTAATGTATCGTAGATCCCCCCCGAGGACCCAGGCCACTTGCGAGCAGCCACTTTGCGAGTCGTGGGACGCGCCTGTCTAGCTTCGTCCAGCGCTCCCGCTGGCAGCACGAGGCCTGTACCGCGCAGCCCGCCGCAGCTTCGACCGCGGCGGGCCTCTCTGCCGCTGCGGGCCGGGAGGCGCGTCGTCTCCCGAGCGGCGGTCCAGGCGCGGCGGCCCAAGGAAGGTGCACGCCGCGCGGCTCTCGCCATCCCCCGCCTCCTGCGGCCCCTGGCCCCCCGAGCACCCCCAGAGCACCGAAGGGGAGTACCGTGGCTTTTCCAGCCGAGGACGGCCCGCTCACGGATCCATGACGCTTCCGAGGCGGGGGCTCATCCATAACCACCGCCTGGGGGATCGATCGCCGGGGGCCTCGGCAGCCAGCGGATATGGTTACGTAGCACCCCGCAGTTGCGGATAAGAGTGAGGGGGCGGCGAGGACGTCGGCAGTCTGCGAGGCTCTGAAGAAGCCCGCCGCAGGCGCCTAACTCTTTCAAATTATGCAGTGAGCCCGCCGCAGGCGCCGATCTCTTCGTTAGAGTCATGTGGGTGGATCGCGGGGCGGGTCGCCGGTGGGTCGCGGGTGTGTCGCGGGTGGGCCGCGGACCGGGTCGCGGATGGGTCGCAGGTGGGTTACGTATGGGTCGCGGGTGGGTCGCGGGGTGGGTCGCGGGTGGGTCGCGGGGTGGGTCGCGGGTGGGTCGCGGGGTGGGTCGCGGGATGGGTCGCGGGGTGTGTCGCGGGATGGATCGCAGGTGGGTCGCGGGGTGGGTCGCGGGGTGGGTGGCGGGTGGGTCACGGGCGGGTCACGGGGTGGGTCGCGGGGTGGGTCACGGGGTGGGTCGCGGGTGGGTCGCGCGCGGGCCGGGGCGGGGACGACGACAACAACAACAACAATCATTCTAAGACTGTTCGCTCTTACTTGCCCCCGTGTCATTCAAAACGAGTTCCCCACACCCTCGACACCCGCCTTTTTTGTCTTCGATCACACCCCCTTTGGGGAGATTCTTTCTCTTTGCGGGGGGCGGCGGGCTTAGACAGGCGGGCAAACCTAAACGGGCGGACAATCCTTCGTGGGCGTACATGTGCCCGCCATTGGAATTGGTGTGGGCCCTGCAAAAAGAGGAAGGGGAGAACGAGGGTGAGTGGGAGGAAGGGAGGGGGAGGGACGAAGGAAGAGGGAAAACGCCAGGAGAGAAGGAGCGAAGAGGGGGTCGGTTGATTTGAGGCAGAGAGAGGGGAACATGACAGATAAGAGAGGTAGAGAAAGAGAGAGAGAGAGAGAAAGAAAGAAAGAAAGAGGGAGGGAGGAGGCAGGAGAGGGGAGGGAGAAGGGAGGAGGGAGTGGAGGAATAGGGGATAGGGCAGAAAAGGCATAAGGATGAGGGAAGAGAGGAGGGAGGAGGAACAGGAAGGTAAGAGCGTAAACGTTCGAGGAAGTCCTAAGCGAAAGCGCCGTTCCTGAAGGAAGTCTCGGGCGGCCGCCCACGGCGGGCGGGCGATCCCATGACGGCGGGTCGGGCGGGTGGGACATTCAAGCGGGAACAACAACAAGCATAATATTCTCCGCGGATCCCCACTTCAGCCACGCACACGGGAACAAAGAATGAACGTTCGGCCCCCTCACTCTGATATTCGGTTTCCCTGGGGCCGAGCTGTATCCACGTCCAACGCCCGCTGGGGTCCCAGGACGTCGGTTCCCCAGGCGGTGGATGTGGACAGATCCCCTGCTTGCTGTGTCTTCCTCTCGCTGCTCCAGGCTGGTCAATATCGAAGAAGAAAAACGACATAAACGTAAACTTTTGACGCTTCGCGCGGATTTCCTAGATCCGCACTGGGCCCCCCCTGGCGACGCATCCGGCGCCGCACCTGGCGCGCTCCGCGCGCCAAGGAGGGGGTCCAGCGCAGATCCAAAACATCAGCGCGGACCTCCAAAAGTTCATGCTTATGTTTACTGTTCCTCTACAATAGGCAGGCCTTCTTTGAGATAAGGCGGTTTTCTCCGCAAGTAGTGCAACTATATGTTTTCTTCCACCGATCTCACTGCGCATGAATTTCCTTTCGAAGCATGGTCGTCTGCCCCTGAGAGGACCGCCCAGGCTTCCGGAGCTGGCATGCAGACCGCACCGCACCGCACCAGTGGTGGTTGGTCGGTGCCTCCAGTGGCGCCAGGCCCTTGCGGCAGCAGCATTCGAAGAAGTAACAACGGCACAGACGTAAATTTTCGGAGCTCCGCGCGGATGTCTTGGATCTGCGCTGGACCCCCTCCCCTGGTGCGCGGAGCGCGCCAGGGGCGGCGCCGGAGGCGCCGCCAGGGGGCCCCAGCGCAGATCCAAGAAGTCCGCGCGGAGCTCCGAAAGTTTATGTTTTACGCCGCTTCTTCTCCTCCGAGCAGGCTTCCCTCGCCCCCCCCCCCTCCACGCAGGGACCGCCTCGGGGCTGCACGTGGACTTCCTGCAGACCCACTTCTGGATGGGCCTGTGCTCCGGCAGGAGCCCCGCGCGGGGGGCGAGGCGGTTCTCTCGCCCTCGCCCTCCCCACGAGTCGAAGAACGACGACGTTGGCAGTGGCCTCGAACGCATGCAGCACCGCGCGCCGGCATCGACACCCAGGATTCGAGAGTCTATTCTCCTCCTTTTCCTCCTGGAGGGTGACTTCTGGCCTGGCTCATCCTGCAAGTGTGTGGTCGCGAATTGTTTGACCCAGAGATTGCGGCCACAGCCTTGCCCACCTGACCTACGTAGGCCTGGGCATCTGTTTGCAGCGGTGGCCTGTTAGGTCCTGTCCAGGATCGAAGAACAACCAATTACATTAACATATTTTCTCTGAGGTCCGCGCGGATTTCTTGGATCGGCGCTGGAGCCCCCTGGCGGCGCCTCCAGTGCCGCCCCTGGCGCGTTCCGCGCGGCACGGAAGGGGTCCAGCACCGATCCAAGACATCCTCGCAGACCCTTGCGGTAATATGTTTATGCAGCGCTTCGCTCCTTTAGACAAGGGGTCCTGAGTCTGTGCCTGTGTTCGGTTCCTCGGGACTCGGGTCAGCGATCTCAGGCGATCTGATATCTTCAATCCCGGCGGTTTTTTTTCTTTTGGTTTCGGCCTCTGGGGCCCGCTATCGGGCCCTGGGGCCGTCTAAGACGTGTCCGGGGAGTATCATTGAAGGTTCAAGACCTCTTTGGGTTTCTCCTCGGTTTGGGTGTTTCCTCGGTTTGGGTTTTTCCTCGGTTTGGATTTTTCCTCGGTTTGGGTTGTTCCTCGGTTTGTTTTTTTCCTTGGTTTGGGGGGATCTCTCCGCAGGGGCCATCAAGAGTTCGCACTCCAGGACAAGGGCATTGGCCGCTGGAAAGTTGGTGCGATCGAAATGGATACGGAAATCATGGGTACGAAGACCGACAGAATTCCCTGCTCGTTTTGAACAGGGGTCGCTGTCGGTGTCGCAGCAGACGCTGTCCGTTCCAGACAGGAGGCCGCCTGTTTGGACAACACTTGTTGTTTGGCATCGTACCCAATTTCCCGTACCCACTTCGGGCGTCCAAGGAGGGCATTTAACTTGGCCGCCCGTGCCCCAGAGAAGTGGCGCCGCAGATGCAGCTCCAGCTCCAGTGAGGCAGCGCGGAGCTGTAGTGTGGGGGGGGGTAGGGCTTTCTGGCTAAGGGGGCGCGCCTTCGCGAGGGCCTTCCCGCACAGATTGGGGCCAGAGTGGACCATTTGAGTCAGACGGGCGCGCCTGACTCGGGGCCAAGCGCAGCTGGTTGCAGCGCGCCCCGCAGTCTGGCGATCGTCGCAGATTGCGCCTCTCTTTTTTGGTTGCGCGTCACCGCAGCCTCACCTCGCCATTGTCTGGCCTTACCTTGGGTCCCCGTCTGTCTCGAGGACGGCTTCGAGGCCCCGTGGCGGACTACATCAGCTGCATCAGTTGAACACGTCTGGCGTGTTTCGAGTCACCCGCTATGCATCCACCTACCCTCCCTCCCCCCTCGCCCCTTTTCCCCTCCACCACAACATAATGCGAATATGAATGCCTTCTCTCTCTCTCTCTCTCTCTCCCTCTCTCTCCTGATGCTGTCCAGTTGGGGTGCCGCCTCTTCCGCGTACCCGAATTTCACACAGGATAAAGAAACAATAGTACGGCACATCATGTTTTGATTGTTCCGGCTAGACAGTCCTCGACATGGTCTTTCCGGTGTGTTGTTCCACTTGGACCGTCTTCGGCCGTTCGTCTGCGGCCGTCCCGACGGGCACTCTCGCCTCGGCGCCTGCCGCACTCCTGCCCACCCCTACCATTGTTCAATATGCAGTTTCGTTTAACCGACCCTCATCCCCATCCTCATCCCCTTCGAGACCCCCACCGAATTACCACCCTAGTTGGGGATACACCCTTCGAAACCCGAAGTGAACGGCCTATATCCCCATCTAGGGGGGTAAATCGGCCAGTGGGGCCCAGGCCACGCCGCTGGGGATGGGGCTCGGTTAAACGGTGCTCAAATATGCATAACTTTCTCTCTCCCCTGGTGGTGTCCAGTACGGGCGCACCTCTCCCGCCGGAGCAGCTGTGCTGCCGCCTCCTGAGAGTGTTTTCGAGGACCCGCGTGCCCAGCCATCGCCACCCCAGACGATGGCCCCGCGGAGCTCGTCGTCGCCGTCGTCGTCGATTTGTTGTTATAGTTGTCCTTCTCCTCCTCGTCCTCCTCCTCTTCCTCCTCCTCCTCCTCTTCCTCCTCCCCCTCCTCCTATTCCCTCCCTTTGTCCTCCTTTCCCTAGGCCTTCTCCTTTCCTTTTCCATCCTTTCGCCTGTCCCCTGGCCCCTGCGCTGCAATGTTTTTTCCCTACCTAGGCTCTGCCTAGAAGGGTTCTTACTCTCTTTGCTTAAAGGGGCGGGCAATGGAAACCGCCCTGGCGGTTCCCCCAGTCCCCGCCCCGCGGTTCCCCCAGTCCCCTGGGAGCTTTAGCTTTAGCTTTAGCTTTAGCTTAGCTTTAGCTTTAGCTTTAGCTTTAGCTTTAGCTTTAGCTTTAGCTTAGCTTTAGCTTAGTGTTAGCTTAGCTTCAGCTTAGCGTTAGTTTAGTGTTAGCTTAGCTTTAGCTTAGGGTTAGCTTAGCTTTAGCTTAGCTTTAGCTGAGCTTCAGCTTAGCTTTAGCTTAGTTTTAGCTTAGTGCTAGCTTAGCCTTAGCTTAGCTTTAGCTTAGCTTTAGCTTAGCTTTAGCTTAGCGTTCGCTTAGCTTTAGCTTAGCTTTAGCTTAGCTTTATCTTAGTGCTAGCTTAGCTTTAGCTTAGCTTCAGCTTAGTGTTAGCTTAGCTTTAGCTTAGTGTTAGCTTAGCGTTAGCTTAGCTTTAGCTTAGCTTTAGCTTAGCTTTAGCTTAGCTCTAGCTTAGCTTTAGCCTAGCTTCAGCTTAGCTTTAACTTAGCTTTAGCTTAACTTTAGCTTAGCTTCAGCTTAGATTTAGCCTAACGTTAGCTTAGCTTTAGCTTAGCTTTAGCTTGGCTTAGCTTTAGCTTATCTTCAGCTTAGCTGTAGCTTAGCTTTAGCTTAGCTTTAGCTTAGCGTTAGCTTAGCTTCAGCTTAGCTTTCGCTTAGCTTCAGCTTAGCGTAGCTTTAGCTTAGCTGTAGCTTAGCTTTAGCTTAGCTTTAGCTTTAACTTTAGTTTTAGCTTTAGCTTTAGCTTAGCTTTAGCTTAGCTTCAGCTTATATTTAGCTTAGCTTTAGCTTAGCTTCAGCTTAGCGCCAGCTTAGCTTCAGCTTGGCTTTAGCTTAGCTTCAGCTTAGCCTTAGCTTAGCTTTAGCTCAGCTTTAGCTTAGCTTCAGCTTAGCTTTAGCTTAGCTTTAGCTTAGCTTTACTGTTACTACTAATGCTGCTGTCCTAGGGGCTCCAACTCCTAGATAGGGTCGCACTGGGATAATTTTAAAAGGGTCTATGTCTCATTCGACACCTCGATTAGCGAACATGGGAAGATTGAGCACACTGGAAAGTGATGGGAGCGAATTGTAGGATGTCATATATGGCGCGATTGTGTCTATTTTGAACCTCCTTTTCCTACCCCCACACCTGCCTCCTCGCGCATATCCCCGCCCCCCCCTCCCCATCCCTGCATCCCTCGCCCGTCGGATCGTCTCCAGTGGATGGGAAGGACTGACGGAGGGAGGGGGCGGCGGAACGAAGAGGAAGAGGAGGAGGAGGAGAAGGAGGAAGAGGAAGAGGAAGAGGAAGAGGAGGAGGAGGAGGAGGAGGAGCAGGAGGAGGAGGAAGAGGAGATGCAGGTGATGCAGTGCACGGCTCGTCCGCGCCCTGGCCCACGGGCGGGACAGCGCGGGAACTATACCCATGCTGAGCGGCCTGATGCATTAAATTTGCCTGCAGGCGCGTCATGCTACCACAGCCTCCCGCCGCAGCAACGTCCTGAGGCTCCGTCTCCCGAACGGTCCTAAACTTAAACTTGCTGTTCAGGATGTCCGCAGGCATCCGACCAGCCACCGCGGCCGTGCGACGAGGAGCCCCGAACCAGGGCGGGCCAAGAGACCCCGGACCACGCCTCCCGTCGCACGCCAGGCCCGAGATGGACGCCCGGACCGCCGTGGCGCCGGCAAAAACATGGAAACGCCGCAACCTTGTGGTGAACCGCGTAACGGCGCCGCCGTGCCTCTCAAGCGGCAACGCCGCAGAGGCTAGCAAGGCGTCTATGAGCCGCACGCCTACGCAACAGCACATCTTGCCGCTGCTGTTTAGCCCGATCTCCGCCGCGCGTTTTCCCACTCGAGGGCCAGACCAGATAGACCTTCTGACTACTTCTCTTCGCACGCCGCTGCATCAGGCAACAAACACTACGCATGAGATCTACTGAAGCGGCATCCCGCTGCTCCAGCACCTTCACCGCGGTCGTCCCGCCCCCATTATCCCATACGAAGAAATTGTCGTCAAAATTCGCCTGTTGACCGGGAAACCCTATCGCCCTCGCTCGCGCGACCTCGATCCGCAAGGCACGACCACTTGATGAATGCAGTCTTCGTTGCATCGCTGCTCAATTGTTGCTCTGTCGCCTCCTCCTGGACGATCCTCTGGGCGAAGATGTCCAGGGGGAAAGTTTCCACGCAGTCGTCGCCGTCAACGCCTGACTCTGACGCGCAGACGTTGAAAAGCGTGGGGGAGCTTGGGGCTGAACCAAACTCCATGCCGAGAGTTCCTCCGGCCCTCTTCCCCTCCGCCGCGCACCAGACACCCCCCAGTGAATGCTTCCTGGGCCTCAGGGGAGGGTGGCAGTGACTCAACCATTACTTAGAGCCCACGACCTGATACACCGCAAGCCTCTGGAGTGCACAGGGGAAGCTCCTCGGCGTGTGTGTGTGTGTGTGTATCGAGAGAGAGAGAGAGAGAGACTTTCGTGGCGTATCCTCCCCCACTTCTTCCTCGGCGCTCGTCTCGCATGCGTCCGCGGGCACCCCGGCCCTCCGCCCAGTCTCCGCCGCGCCGCTGGCCCGCTGCGGCACCGTGTGCCGCCCTGCCCCTTTCCAGGGGGCCCGCTTGGATGCACTCGGTGGTTTTTCTGGCGTCAGCGCTGGACTCAACGGCGGCCTCCTGCCTGCGCGCTCCGCGTCGCTGGCGCACAGTGTGAGAGAGGGCGTGCCAGCGTTCTGGCGCCATCTTCACGCCTAGGTGGTCCTTCGCTTCTCCTTCTTGCAGCCGTGGGTGTCACGCTCTGGAATCGCGGGGGAATTGGACGGCGACAGCACTTCGTCGTCGCGCCGCATTGTGGTCTATGTCTTGTAGGTTCTTGCCCTTCGTGGTCTTCTGGTCTTGCTTGGCGGGGAGGACGGGATGGGCAGGGGGGAGGTATGGGGGGGGGGGGGGGGGGGGGCGGGGGCAGTGAAAGGTTGGAGGGAGGAGGAGAGGGATACGCGGTCTTGCCAGGGCTGCTGCAAGCTCAGGGCCGTGCTGCCCTTTCGCCCACGGCGCAGCCCCGAGTCCGCAGAGGGCCTGGGCGGCCCGCTGGAAGCTGGACCCTGACCTCCCAGACCACCCACCGCAGGAGGTGGCTCGTTGGCCCAGGGGGGGGACGGGGGGGAACGCGGGGCGCGAGGGGCCCCACCGCCCTCCCGCGGACGGCTCGTCCCCGAGGAGGCGCCATAGCCAGGGCAGGCCCTTGACGATCCCGCGATCGGCATCCCCCGCGGCCAGCCCAGCTTCGCCGCCCTTCCAGGCGAAGGAGGGAGGAGGGAGGAGGGAGGAGGGAGGAGGGAGGAGGGAGGAGTGAGGAGGGAGGAGGGAGGAGGGAGGAGGGAGGAGGGAGGAGGGAGGAGGGAGGAGGGAGGAGGAGGAGGAGGAGGAGGAGGAGGAGGAGGAGGAGAAGGAGAAGAACAGCAAGGCGAACGTGTGGTCCAGCAAGGCACGTGCCTCGAGAGCGGAGCTGC